TCCTGGGTTCAATCCCTAGCACAACCAAATAAATAAATTGTAATGGAAAAATTACTGAAGAATAGATATTACCATGGAAATTTTAAATTTCTGCACATCTAAAATATAAACAATAGAAGGATATATAATTAGAATAAAGTATTTTTGTTGAAAATAACAGATAAAAGGTATCATATAAAGTATAGAAATCAGCTACAGAAAGGTGTGAATTAATTCACAATAAAAGAAATTGAAATGGCTAATATATGGGCAAAGTAGTCATTAATAATTAAAGAAACACTGATTTATTGTTTTGTTTTATTGTGTTTCATGCAGTATCAAAGAATATCTTTCAGCTGCTGCTGCTGATTTAGCCTGAATCCCTTTACTTCCTGGATTTCTTTCTGGTTTTATTTATGTATGTGTGTATGTATTTATTTATTTATCTATTGGTTTTTAGACACAGGCTCTCACTATGTAGTTGAGACTGACCTGGAACTCACTATGTAGCCCAGGCTGGTCTTGAACTCACAGCGATTCTCCTGCCTCAGACTCCCAAGTGGTGGGATTACAGGCGTGCACCACCATGTCCAGCTATAAAGAAACACTGATTTTAACAGCAATGCCATGCTGGCTTTTTACTTTTCATGTTATTATAAATGGTTAAGATGTTAACTTGCTTAATGTTGGAGTTGGTACAATAAGAAGTCGGACTTTCTTAGACAGTTCTGATGAAATAAAAACTTGTACAATCTTTTGGGCAATTTGGTAATTTCTGCCAAAAAAAACTTTAAAAATGCTTCTACGTTTTTACCTCCATAATCTTATTTTTAGTATTCTATTTTGAGGAAATTCTAAGAAATGGATACAATATTTTATGCACAAAATGTTCATCCCCATGATATGAAAAATTGGAAAGTACTAAATGCTTAATATTAGAAGACAATGGTTGAATATATTATAGTACATGACTTGAACGTAGTTCTAAAAAATTAAAATATCAATATACATTAAGTAATTATTATGTAAAGTACTACACTATTTTGTATTCATTTGCTCATTTAGCACTCTCTTCAACCCTTCCAAGTGATGTCTGCCCCATCCCAGGTTTTCTCTCCTCTGATGGCCAATCCATATGGCCGATCTGTACAGGCTTTCTTGCCAGCTAGCTTCTGTCTGGGGTAGGTCTACGTGTCACCAATAAGGTGAGGGTTCTTTCCCTTAGTGCAGATAAAAAACCATGAGTCAGCAAAATGTAGCTCTGCTATTGGTCCTGGTGCCACTGGACCACACCAGATAATGCTGAATACTGTCATTTGCCACGTTTGTCTGCTGGTCTCTGCTGCTGCTCGCTAGTGTCATTTGATGCTGGCTTGTGCTGGACACAGTGGGTCAATTGTGCTGCTTGATGGTCTCAGTTACTGATCTTCACTAGCTGAGCTCTTCAGGGCTAAAAATCCCTAGTGTTTATTGCTTCTTTGAAAGTGACTGCTCTGCTCATACTGCTCAGGAATCCTGAGTAGATTTACAGGACCTTCTAAGGCCACACTACCTGAGAAATTACAAGAAGATTTAAAGGACGAACAGAGTGAAGCTTTATTTTAACAGGACATGTGCAGCAGCACATCAGTACAGCAGATGGAACCCTCTGAGACTAACCCAGTCCTGTAATCCCAGCACTTGGGAGGCTGAGGTAGGAGGATTGTTGCTAGTTCAAGGCCAGCCTGAGGTTACACAGTGATTTCAAGGCCACTTTGGACTACATAGCAAGATCCTCTCTCAAAAGAAAGAATAAAAGAAAGAAAGAAAGAAAGAAAGAAAGAAAGAGAAAGGAAGTCTGAGTAAGATCCCTGGTACTAAAAGAAAGAAAGAAAGAAAGAAAGAAAGAAAGAAAGAAAGGAAGGAAGGAAGGAAGGAAGGAAGGAAGGAAGGAAGGAAGGAAGGAAGGAAGGAGGGAAGGAAGGAAGGAGGGAAGGAGGGAGGTAACATGAGGGGTGCACTCGTCATATAGCAGCAGCAACCTTGTGACTGGTCCAAGGTAAAGCCTATGTTCATCTCAAATTCAGACCTCCTGATTAGTGCAACTGTTGGCCTGCGATCAGGTCAGATGTATGAGTGGGGTTGGGGTTGGGGTTGGGGGTGTGCCGTACAACTGCAGCTGCCATAGCTGTGGTTCAGCGGAGGGCAGGGCAGTAACGGCTGTCTCATCTCCATGAAAAGTGGTGGTACCAGGAAACCTTTGGGAGGGTCAGCTGTGCTCATCACAGCTTATTGGTGTTTGGAGAGGTCACAAAGCAACCTCAGAAGAGGCAGGAGGATACTGAATACTGAGGCAAGTTGTCCAAGTTCATTTTAGGGGGAGGGAGAGCAGAGGGAAGCAAGGAGAGGGACCTAACAGCTGCTTTTTGTCAAACTCAGGCTCTTCTGACTGGTATAGGAAAAAAAAAATGAGCCAGGGGCTTCTCTGCCTCATATGTAGAGAAGCAGCAGAAGAGTGGAAGGAGGGAGATTAGAAAGTCTGAGTATTTATTCTCCTGGCTATCTCCCTGCTAGCTCGCTGTGAGCTGGCTGCCTGCCTGGGTCAGGCACCTCTTTGTAAACAGCTCCTTAGTCTAAAAGTCTCATCACTTTCTTTGAAGAATTCATAACTTTGGTATCCCTGTATTTATCTACTCTTGCTCCCTTCAGCCCATTATTCCCAAGGCAGGCAGGCAGACCTTTTCAAAACGCAACATAGGCTTATTGCCTCTTGCTTAAGACTCTTGCAGTGTTCTCCTCTGCTCTTAGTATAAAGACCTTTTTTTTTCATTTGCAGAGATAGGGATCAAATATCAGGGCCTTGTACATGTTGGGCAAGCATCCAAACCCTGAACTACATCTCCAGCTTAAGGCCAAGGATCTGATTTTGGCTCTGCTTACCTCAGCAGCCTTGCATCCTATGCGTTTCACTTTGCCCTGGCTCTACTGCCAGCCTTTCATTTGCCCCCCATAAACGATGCTTCTTTCTACCACAGGGATGTTGATTACATTTCTACCTGCCTTTTTTTGTGGTACTGGGGATTGACCCATGACACTCCCACTGAGCTACATTCCCAGACAGGGATCTTGATAAATTGCCCAAGTGGGATTTGTACTTGGAATCCTCCTGCCTCAGCCTCCCAAATTGCTCCCTCTTTCTCTGGAGTATTTTAGACTCCCTTTCCCAAAGGTAACTTTTAAAGTGGTCAGACCACTTGTCAAATAAAATATTTGAGGGGCCATGTATTTGGACTGGGCACCCGCACTGTGTACAAACCAAACCAATGTAGAGTTAAATCACAGTAGCTGGCCGGGCACGGTAGCGCATGCCCGTAACCCCAGCACTCGGATGGCTGAGGCAGGAGGATCGCTGTGAATTCTAGACCAGCCTGGGCTACATAGCGAGTTCCAGGTCAGTCTCAACTACATAGTGAGACCCTGTATCAAAAAAAAAAAAAACAAAACAAAAAAAACAACAACAAAATCACAGTGGTTGTGATTTAGTCTGTTGTAGTCCTTGTAGCTAGTTAGCTATTTAAGCTGTAACCAATTCATTTCTCTATATTTCACTTCCATTTTTCAATAGATGCTGTCTGATCTCATTGTTGACTGCAGCTTTAAGAACATGCTCTGGTTTTGGGAGGTGCAGGAATCATTTTTTGTTTGTTTGCTTAACTTTGTCTTGTGTTTTTGTCTTTATTTTGCTCAGCTAAACTCCTTGACATAATTGGCCTGGGGAATTTTCCTAAGGATCTTTCCAACATAACTTTGGTCTGGTCGAACATGTGGTTGTCTATTGCTCATAGACTATGAAGATAGTCTCTGTTGTGCATTACCTGTATTTCTATAGTACCTTGCTCTATCTTTGTCTACCACACAGTGTGAAATCAAGTATTTGAATGAAAATGAAAGCAATGGTAATAAGGAGGAAGGTGGGTAGAATCACATTAGAGTTGAATTCTTTGTTATGTATTTCCTGTCTATGCTTCAAAATCTACCACAATGAAAACGATTTCTACTTAATCCAGAGTCTCAAGTTCTTTTCTAAGTAAAAGCTATTAAAACTGGATAAAACTACATCTATATTTCTTTACAGCTTATCCAACAAGATGTTTTATACAGAATGCAGGTGGGCAGGCACGAGAAATATTTTAGAGGTGGGAAAAGATACCTAATTAACTTCCTAGAGTTCTCAACACATTGGATTCCTGTTATAAATTCGGACTTTTTTTTTTTGGACAGTCTCGATGTGCTGTTCATGCTAGCCTCAAAGGCAGTATTCCTCCTACCTCAGCCTCCAGAGTGCTCGGATTACAGGAATGTGCCCACCATGCCGAGCTAGGAAATCTATTTCTGAGGATTCCGGTGACGACAAATTCAGCTTTAGAAAGAAAAGAATAAAAGTGGAAATTTAAGAAAGGGATAAAAATAGCAAGACTGAAGGCTGGTTGTACAGTAAAGTGTCAGCACTAAATAAAACAGGATAGGGAAACGTTTTGTTTTTGCACCTTAGCCATCCTCTGACTTTCACGTTTAAGTTGGAACGCCACTTGGGTAATTTTTTCTTGCCTACTTGCTTCAATTTTCGTTAAGCATCTGAGTTTGAAAAACCCTACTCGAGAACTAGTAACCACACCCAATTCATCCAAGGAACCGCCCCCACTCCAACCCGCCCCTTGCCGAGGACGTTGCGCAGCTGCGCAGACTTCTCCCGCCCTAAGTGACGTCCAAGCGGGCTAGACCATGTGCAATCAGGTAGGTGGTCCCACGAGTCTTCGGGTTCATTTCCTTCAAATATTTGCGGCTCTGTGTCCCTTGCAGTCAAAATACTTTTCAGCTAAGTGTGGTAATGAAAGTTTCAGGTGAGGCACCACGTGGACATAAGCACACCCGCTCATCCATTCTCGCCTGGCCCCTGTCCTCCCTCTTGTAGTGGTATCTCCCGTCTAAAACGGCGCGAAAATATTTTCTCGCGCGCGTGCGCGAAAACCGCTAAGGGACGAGGAAGGTGGGGCTAGGTTTCGTTAGTCTCTTTCCTCCGCCTCAGAGAGGGCCGGGCGCTCGACCGCCCCTGTGAGGTAACACTCCGAGATAGCCGGGCTAGAAAGGCATTCGCCAGTAGGGAAGGGTTGTGATACCGAACGTCTTTCCTAGCGACCCAAAAGCTAAAAAAAACATGAGTTCACAGAGCTCGACCCCCTTCCCCCGCGACCCCTATGGCCGCGGCGGCAGGAGACAGCGTCAGGGGAGGCCGGCTCCCCAAACCCCGGGGTCCGATAACCAGGTCCAGGGCCTGGCCCCCACTGTGGGCGCGGCCTCGACTCTCTCGTCGGAGCGGAACGTCTTACCAGACTGGCAGGCCTCCCACCGTTTTTCCGCTAGCGCGCCAAACGCGTCCGCCTCAGACCCGAACTCTGGCGTGCCCCCCGGCGCTAATTCTGCCCAGGGCCCTAACGTCAACCCTAGTTCCAGAGCCTTCGGTGCCCAAGGCCTGAGAGGGTTGAGCCCGATACCTGCCACTCCCTCAAGCACCTCGGTTGCGTCCGCCCCAGGCTCCAGTTCTGACTCGGACGCTAACAACCGCAGGGTAGCGGGACTTGGCTTGTCCTTGGGCTCCTCCACACTGTCGCTATATGGCTCTTCAGAGGCGTCTCTACCGAGCTCAGCCTACGAGTCCGGACAAAGTGCTTCCCGGACCTCAGTTTCCAGCACACCCAGTGAGTCTCTACAAGAACTGAAGTGGAACTTAACGTCTCGCCCATTGGCCCCAGGACTTCCAACATCTAGTAACTCTTCCCACCTGTCCGCACGGGTTCTTCCTGCGCCAAGTAACCCCCCACAGCCCTCAGCGCAAGAGTACCTCTTGCTCTCTGCGCCCGGCTACCCTTGGATATCGGTAGCGCTGCCTTCTGTTCGCTATGGTAGCCATTCCCAAAGGTCGGCACAAGGGTCTCTACCTAGTTTCAACCCCGCGGTGACACTTCGATCGCGCGCCCGGTTCTTAGAGCCTGGCTTCCCTGGGGGAGCGCTAGCAAGACCAGTACCGCTTACGGGCAGTCCCAGACTGTCAGCAGGAGGGTGCGCCCCAGTCTTAGGGCCCAGTTCCTCCGGAGTATCAGTAGGAACATGGGCTCCGCCCTCGAACGCCACGCGGGGGTCAGTTGAAGGGATAGCTCCGCCCTTGGCTGTCCCTACTCTTATATCCACGCCTCAGAAGAATCTCAACCAAAGCATGGCGAGTCCGGAGAAAGCAAGTACCGCAGGCCACATGTTCGATGTAGTGGTAATAGGAGGCGGCATTTCAGGTTAGTGTGGACCATAGTGGTGGCCTGAGCGATCCTGGCTGGACCAGGGACAGGGACTTGCAAAACTTGCAATATTGCTGTGGTGTTTCAAGGGGTTGGTTTCTCCTCCAAAGGAGAGTGTGACAGTGGCTAGACTCCAGGTCTTGCAAAGTGGGAATGGAGGTTGGGCCAGTTTTGCTGGTGGTATGAAGGGGGCCTGGGGGTAGGGAATAATTTTACTATTAAATTCTAATATTTGATTAGCTTTTGCTGTGCGGTTACATTATGTAGATTTTTCTCAGTCCCCAACAATCCTGTGAGATGGTATCACACCCAGCCTCCTTTATTTATTTATTATTATTATTTTTAACAAAAGCCACCAACCGACGCCTGAGGAGTTTCAATAACTCTTCCGAGGTCAAACTGCCTAGCTGGGAAGTACCTGAAAAATTTTCTCCCATTAAAGACCCCGACTCTTAATGCCTGAGGTGGCTGCTTTGCCTCACTGATTTACTGTCCCTTTCCCTGAATCGAACATCAGCATACAGATTTTTATAGTATGGAGGTAGTAATAATATTAGTCTAGCTCTGTTGTTCTCTAAGTACTTTTCCTTGGAAATTTTGGTAGGTAAAAAGCAAGGAAGTAAAATCCTTTAGTAAAATGTAAAATAATTTAAAAACGAAAGAAGGGTGAGCTCTTAGGTTCAGCTGTCTCCTGCCAGTTTTCTCAGGATGTGCAGGAAGGTGTAAGGCATTTTTATCCAGAAGTAATCCTTTTATGAAGCAAGAGCTGTGGGCGAGTCAGGGAGTGCCCTGTTTTGTCCTTTCTTTAAGAGCTCCTACTACCAGCATATTGTCTGCTGGTCTTGGCTTGGGTTTGTAGCTGACAGTGGTATGTGAGGCCCTTCAGTATCTTTTTGAAGACTTGACATGTTAAATTGACGCTTATGTTGTGATAATTGCCAAAATCTTTGAAATTTAGGAATTTCGTCGTGTTTTGGCCCTCCCTAGAATCACATATGGATCTATCCCTTTCTCCAGGTATTAATAATTTTAGAGATATACATGCACGATCTGATTTAAAAAAAGAGGGAAGAAGTAAATAGGGTGGCTCTGCAGGAGTTATTTTTATATATTATCCTTTTGAAGAGACTCTGAACATACTTATAAATTAATTTTGAAAACAGTTTTTGATTTGTCCTGTGCATGATAGTCTTTAACAACCAGAGAAAAGATTGGCATGGACCATTGGCTTCGACAGTTCCAACCAGTGCCACCAAAAACAAGCACATCCTAGCTGAGAGTAAGAAAATGGAGCATTTCTCTTGTTTCCCTTCTTTCATTCATTTACTTATTCATTTCACAAACACTTGCTGCATAACTGCAATGTAGTGGACTGGTGTTTACAAAAACCTAGTTCTTCTAGGCAGAATCCTAGGAGGATTTTGATCGTTTATCACTGGAAAATAAATATGGTCATGTGTAGTGTCAATTATTAGTTTTGTCTCCTCTCATCACTATGCCACAATTCAGGGGTCTTTCTGGGATGTTTTCCTTGTCTTTTCCTTAGTCTGTCTCTGGTATTCCTTAATGAGTTTTGTCTTTTATTATTCTTCTGCCTGATTACCTGCTGGTTTTCCTTTCCAGTACTTAACTCCTAATACTTGGTCATTAGCAGAGGTTGATTTAGTATGTAGCGATGAACGTTATGCTTTATGGCTTTACAACTTTAGGCCCCTTCTGGTTCTCATTCTAAATAAATAACTAGTTCCACACTGAATTTTGTATTCACAGTTTTGCTTTTTTATATCTTAAAGAGGGCATCCAAATTATGTAAGGACTCACAAAACCTAGATCTGTCCATGGTCATTATTAATTATTATTTGTTCATTTCCATTTGAGGAAATAGACGGTATTTTCTGTGAGGTAGTGCACACTGTTCTTCCAAAAGCCAGTGTCCAATCTATCAGTGGCAGTGGGAAAAGCATTGGACTTCCTAATGTCCTATCAGTCAGATCTGAGTGATTTTAATACCAACTGACTAGAAACACTGCTTTCTCACTGTGATGCCTTCCCAGCTGGTTTACAACTAAAAGTAGATGCAAATGTGTCTCATGTTAGGTCCTAGACATAAACTAGGTATTTCAGGAACGGGTAATAGCCATTATTTCACCAGCATTCTTGTGAGGTCCAAAATACATCAACTTTGTGTGTGCTTGGCAATATCCCATGAGTTACTTAATGATCCAGTTTTAAATGCTTTTGGATATTCCTTACAACTTTTGTCAGGATTGTACATTTGGATATATTACCCACACATTTATAATATATGGCCAGTACTTTGCATCTGCAGTATTATTCCTCTAATGTACCTCCCAAAGAGAACATTCTAAATAACATGACTCAAAATCAATTGACATTAGTAGAATTATAACTATCTTTGCACCAAGAATAGTAGTATTTTGATATGTCTCCTTTTTGTCATTAAAAACAGAAAACAGCACACAGCCAGAAAGCCCTTTTTCTGTCCTCTGGCCGATTAAATAATTTTATATAGTAATTGAGGGGTGAAACAACCTTGCTCATTTATTAGTCTAGCAGTTTCATTAACATACCCTGGCTCCTATCCATCATCATCCATCGTCGATCACCCATTTCTTTTCTGAAATCTTTTCATGTGTTCTGTGACACTATTAAATCCAGAATTTTTGTCCCATACTCATTTTTCTTTTTCCATTACTCAGCTCATATTTTTTTGTTTTTTGTTTTTTGTTTGTTTGTTTGTTTTGGTACTGAGGATCAAACTTGGGTCCTTGTGCTTGGGAGGCAGGCGGTGGAATCACTGATCTAAATCCCCGGCCCAAGCTCATATTCTTTTGATTTCTAGTTTTGAAATGGCCTTAAGGTTTTCCTGCTCATCAATTTTGGGCTTTTTTACATTCTCTCCCTCTCTTTTATTCTAGAATTTCAGTGTTCCTTTATCTGTAGAAAGTTCTCAAGGTTCTGATTCAAATCCCTTTCTTTCTCTGAATTCCTGTCCCATAAGTTACCTGGTCATAGATATTTCACACTTAATACTGCAGATTTAACATGTCCAGAAGCTTCTCCTTAGTTGCTTGACTCTTTTCTTGTCATGATCAACCTTTCCATCATTTTTTTTCAGCTTTAATTGAGTTTATTGGTACATTTTAGGGAGAATCAAGACTTGCCATGTAGAGGTACATGATCCCAACAATGAATGTAACTGTGCTTTCCATCATTTTTAACACATCTTTTTCTTTCATCTTCTATCCCCCTCTGCTTTTTTGCAGTGCTGGGCATCAAACCCAGTGCCTTGTACATGCTAAGCACATATGCTATCACTGAGCAACATCCCCAGCTCTCTTTCACCCTTTTTTTAAATTGACTATTGGAACTTTTCAGGTATACAGTACAGTTATATTCATCATTGGAATCTTTTATCTTTACGTGACAGATCTTGGTTCTCATTTTTTCTCATACCCCTGCCCTCCCTTCACCCCCTCCACCCTTCCCTATTTACAAAGACTTTGCTTCCATTTTTTTCTTTTCTCATATTTTTTCTTTTCCCTTATTTCCTTTCCCCTACCCTTTACACTTCCCCTACAACTTTAGCCCTTTTCTTCCTACTTCACACTTTCAGATATACAATTTGGATATTATTTACACTTTTTGTTTTTCACACCAGAGAAAGGATTCAGTATTTACACGTGTGTCCTATTTATTTCACGTAAGAGTATGGCCTCAATATGCATCCATTTTCCTGTGAATGACTCTAGTTTTTCATTCTTTGTGGCTGAGTAGTACTCCATTTTATAGAAAAACTGCATCTTCTTTATCCAGTCTCCAATTGATGGGCAACTGGGGTGTTTCCAAGTTTTAGCTATTACAAACTGTGCCGCTATAAACATGGGTGTGCGTATATCGCTGTGGTATGATTCTTTTAATTTTCCTTCACCCTCTTAACAGATCCTTCTACTTCCTCTTTTTGAGCTGTTCTTCTGCCCCCCCACTGACTACTCCCCTGCCCCCATGCCCAAAACAGATTCTGACCTCTGATTATGACAACTTTCCAGTGCCCCCTTTTATATTAGTGGCTTTCCTATCCATCCGTCCTGCATACAGTATTCTCCCAGACTTGATTTACCTTGAGTACTTCTTTCCTTAACTCACTCTTCTGCTCAGAACCTTCAGTGGTATTCTGTTACCTTACTGTCAAGTCCCCTTTCCATGCTCCCAGTTTGTTGGACAAATAAACATTTCCCACTCTTCCCCAACATGGACTTGAGCTTTACTCAATACTTCTTGTCCTGGTGGGTGCTACAGTATGTTTATTTTGTCCTTCAGGCCTTCCCTTTTTTCATCTTTCTTAACATGGAAGTGCCTTTTTCTTAACATTTAATTAATCCTACAATATCTAGATGAAGATCCTTTCCTTAATCATTCTGGCTCTCACTGATTTTTCTCCCCTCTTGTAGAGCTCATACTAACTACTTTATAATTTGTATTTATTTTTCTGCCTATTTCTTGATTTTCTTTTAAGGACAGTGGTTGAACCACTAACTTTAGATGCTAGTTTTTTCTCGTAAGGAGCCACAAATAGAACAAATGACAGAAAATCCATGATGGAAGATTTTAATATCTGTTCTTAACTGATAATTTCTGAAATGTCTCTCTTTAGAGAGATAAATAAGGAAAAAATAAGTCCATCTCCAAGATATAGTGCATACATCCTTCATAGGACTGTTTGGAATTTCAGTCTTTGGTCAAAGGGATTTTAAAAGGCAATGTGGCCTATTTACCTAAGATTTTAATCCTTCTGATAGTATCTCCTAGTTATCTGACTAGCTCACAGTCAGGGGGAAGGAATGCTGTATCCCTCAAAGCAGCTCATAATAAGTAGAGCTAGCTACTTATTATGGATTTTCTAAAGCATTTTAAGAGTATCTTCCATATATAAGGTAGTAGCTAGATCATAGGGATAAGATATGTAAAAATGAGTA